CGGAACATAGCTTGTCAGGTTTGAAGCTCCTGTTTGGTTCCACCTCCCCTAGTAATTCGATATGAATTCGGGCACGTCTGCGTTCTTGTTCAGAACAGCTTTAGTTCGGAGGTGCTTGGTCTGGTTTGGGTTGAGTGAGGGTTTAGGATGGGATGTGTTGCTTCAGAAAATGACCCCCAGGGTGGACAGGAAATCTAGGAGTTCAGAATTGGCTGGAGATTTGGAGTCTGCATACTGCTTCTATTAATAGGGTGGTACAGCGATTCTACCCCAGAATGTTGTGGGAAGTCGGAAAACACATTCGGCAGAACCATGGAGTTCAACATGAAACGGACATGCTTGGTTGTACGGCTTAGCTTGTGCAATCCCCCCCCACACGTGGTGGGGTTGCTTATCTCACCTGCCCAAAGGACCTATAAACAAAAACCTCTCCTTGACTTATGGACCAAATCAGAGGTCAGATCCGGTCGATTCGTGTGACTTTTCCAAAGGGGTTCTTCGAATCTCAAGCTCAGTCATGCTTGGATCTTCAAAGCCAAAGCACCAAACATGGAATTGGCCGCATCAAAACCCGTCAGCTTGCCTCAAAAAGGCTGGTTTGGAGCGAATCGGCGGGGCTGGTGTTCTGGGGCTGGTGTCCTGTTTACCCACAGCCACGGCTTAAAATCCCCAAACCGCTAATCCAAACCAACTAAGGGCTACCTGATGTTATCAAGCAACGGCTATTGACATCACCTATTCTTCTCTTAGTGGCTCGTTGATCCCCAGCTAAAACATAACTTCTAGCGCAAAATATGGAAGACTTCCTCCTAACTCAAAAAGTCTAAGGTATGAGGACTGTTCAAAATTAAGCCTCATCTTAGATGTTGACCTCCTATGTACTGGGCTCCATACACGTCCACTCTTTAAAATTGGTCCACAAGCGAGCTTCGTGCAAACACATACTGATCTGTGCGGCGGAAAGGGCCTGGTTTTGGTTACCATGCGCGTAACCCGGAAAGGGGTGGTTGTCAAAGCGAAAGCCAGGGAACTTGGTTTGGGACCCTTGTTCACAAACAAACCCGCACCCATGTGATCCGCTAGCCTACCCTAAAATATGGTATTGTTTGGAGGAGCCCAGGAGATTCTCTTGTGGAGTTGGCACCCCAGCTTGGCCTGAAAGCCAAGCAATTATTTCAGAGGGCGCATGAGGGTTCCGCAATTGAAATTTGAGACTTTCGCTGTTGCCTAAGGACATAGGAAAAGAAGTTGTAGAGGGCTTTCATTTATGATTTGCTGCGTGCGTTGTCCGATATGGGGGGGGCTTCTCAAAACGGTGGACCTTTTTGGTTTGTACTTGAAGGGGAACCCACAGGAAGTAACTGAACCCAAACAGGTGGTGTCCTTTGGTTTCCCTCTAAACCCGTTAAACCCTAACAGGAGTACAAACCAAGAGACGAGCCACCCACCCCTCGCTGGCGGAACCCTCCCCCCAGCAACCGCGGAACTCGCCTTGAGCTTCCGTAGGGCTTCTCGCACTTCGTGGGCCCCTCGTGCTCGCATGGCCTCGCACCCGGAGATGGACATGGGGTCTGGGTGTCTTTAGGGATGGACCACAGAAACATGTTGGTTCCCTTTGGCTTTCGTTTTTCAAAGCCCAAAACGGATACCCTCAATTTGGACACTCCCGTTTGTGTCTTTAAACCCCCCTCTTTTTCGCGTTTTGCACCCTTGCTTTGGGCTTTGGTGCAACATAGACCCACGTGTCCAGTCAAAGGGCCGGGTACCCTGTGGACTTGTTGAGTTTGCACCGGCGAACTCCAGCGAGCCTCCTTGTAGCCACAAGCTCTCGCAACGCCAGGAAAATCGATGTTCACAGATCCTCTGCTCCGGCAGTCCGATCAACGCAAGGCCAGGAAGGCTTTTACCACTACGTAGATTCTAAGCGATAGTTTGCACGGGTGACCTACTATAGGGGCTTGCCTGGATCCACCAATGCTACTTGCAAGTGCAAGAAAAAAATGGGGCATACATTCACCGAATCATTGTGGCTTCTGCGCCCAAGCCATCACTCAGGGGTTTTCTGGGTATACCTGGTAGATCCAGGCTGTTCATATTGGACAAACAATTGCGAGCAGCGACTCCTGTGGGTTGACCACCCACAGAGTCATGAACGGCGTTGTTGATGAGCACGTGCTTGAAGTTCCGAAGGCCTCGCAAAAAGATCTGATCCCATCAGACATGGATTTGGACCGAATCCCAGCATTGCCCTTAGGTTTCTGCATGGCTTTTCCTGGTTGCGTTCCCTGTTATTGGGGTAACTGATCCATCGGGATTTTGGAGGGTAACCATTTTGGCGTCGCTGTTGAAGGGAAACCTCCAAGCAACCTTGTTATGAAACTCCACAATGCCTTTGGCTTTTCTCCGCACGGCTAAAGTATAAATTATAAAATCCAGAAGTGGGCCCAGTCTCAGTGCGTGCTGCCTGCTTCACAAACAAAGGACGCCCCAGCTTGGTGGGGTTTCCCATTTGGATATCCTTTTGGGGTGTTGAACAACGGACGTCTGTGCCCTTTTTGCAGCCATCCAAAAGAGGTCCTCGTGCAATCTTACGACCCACAAAGGTTGCCTGGTTGCCTGTGCGTTCCCCATAAACCTTCTACATCTGCAACTAGAGGCGACCTCCCCAACTGTTTGATTGTGGCTTCCCCCAAACAAAAAGCTATCGAAGTTTCACGAGTTCAGCAATCTGCGACTTCCGCCCCTCTGCCCCCCACAGCGCAAAGCGAGCCGAGGCTGGGGCCGGAATTGCCAATGGTGGCGAAGGCGCCCATGTGCATCAAGCCCTCAACCAGCCGACTCCAGCCAAATGCCAAACACCAGACAGGAGCCAATCGAACCTTACGTCAAATTATTTTGAACATCGGACCCAGATGCAAAATCCTTGTTGCAACATGACAATGATCATGTTTATCCTCCCGCCAAACTTGAACGTGCACGGGCTGTCCGCGGCAGACTACTTCCCTCTTAGAATGGGAGGTTCCCGGTCACCGACAACTTGGCCAATGGATACACCAAGGACGCTTTTAGATTCTGTGTCAAGCGCACCCACTATGAATTAACTATCATTGTAGGTTTGGAGACCCAAAACGGAAAACCGGAGGACCCAAAAGGTGAAATGCTCAACTGGCTGGTGATTGGACAGCTCCAGTTTGCTCGTTTCCTCGTTGTAACTAAATGGCCAGCCCCTGCTCGTTTGCTCGTCCCTTAAAGTCAGCCAGTCAAGTTTTCCATTTTCTTCCAAGCGCCGGGCAGCGCCATCCCCGTCGATGCACAGGACCTCCTGCGGTCTGGCCAAGGCCACACCTGCAAAGCCGGGGGCCAAACAGGGGGTCCGGACGGAAAACTGGGCATGTCGGTTGTTTTGAGGCCACCGTTTGTTTGTGGCTTTGAAGGGAAGCCAAAAGGAATGGCACCAGTTCGGGGGGCACCTAAAAAACGACACACCCAAATGCTACACCTCCTATGAAGCTCTACCAGGGTCTCCACTACCAACAACCCAAATGAAGATGGGCCAACAACAGCCCTAGTGGGTGCAGAATGGAATGCCCATGTACCCCTGTCTTTCTTGGGGTAGTCTTTGGGGCTTAGACCAAAAACTAAGTCACAGTGCTACTTGGGGTGTCTAGAAGAGTCCATGGTGCGCTTTTGACAAAGGTTGGGCCTATCTGAAATGGAAAACACTGAAGGCCAAATTTGAAGGGCTCAACTTTTTGACCAACGCCCACAGCGGCCCCGATATTCCTGATCGTGAAACTGCCGAAATGCATTGATGTTTGGTTTACATAGCTATTGTTAGTTCTTTGGGTGAAAATGGTGCCTCAGACTTAGCGCGCTCAAGTAGAAGCCCAGGCGCCCAAAATGGCCAGCTCCAGATTCAGAGGCAGAACGAACTGACATGGCAAACACTGGACAGGCTTGGGCGAGTCAAGCCTTAAGGCCAAGGTTTACACCACCAAGCATCTTCTTCCACACGGCTGATCTATCCGCGCCATGCTGGCCACCAAGCAGTTCAAACCAACTTCTTTCCATCAGTTTTTCTGCTGGGGAGGCCGGGAGGGGGGAGGGGGGGCGATCGGATCTGGCTGAGTTCAGCGTCGAGCTGAGCTCCGCACCCAAGGCGATGGACGAACAGTGGCCCATGCTTCCCACCTGGGCTTTCTGAGACCCGCGTCCAGAGAGGATGCCAATCAGCGAAAGGCCCAACCAAAGCGAAAAACAACTTGATACTATCTCTACCAATCTAGGTCCCCTCAAGAATGGACAATGTCTTTTTTAAGGAGACCATGGCCCTTAAGCAGCTAAATTGAACAATTGAGATGGGGTGGGAGTGAAAGGTCCCATTCCATGTGCCTAAAAAGGCAATGGTTGCCCTGAAACCACAGGGGTGTGGGGATTCGGGATGGCTTTGGCCTGCCGCTTCGGCTGGAGATCCAGCAGAGTTAGCATGAAATTCAACAACGGCGCTGGCTGGGTGGTAAACCTGAGTGGCCTTCCTTTGATTTCCCCTACATCTTTGAAATGCCAATCCCGACTAAAATAGACTAAAATGGGTAGTGCACCTACCCAAAATGGTACCATTGGTGTTGACCCACGGCCATATCTTTGAATCGCACCCTCTTGAGGGGTACCTTTAAGAAACTAAGACATACGCAATTGCAGGCAGATTCTCAGGCGCCGACCGTCAGAAAGTCGTGGCCGTGTGATTGGCCTACGCGAATGGCGCATGGCAGCGCGCGCGGCGAGAACGTGAAATGCACTCGACTCGACTACAGCGTAAGCACTCTCATCCATAACCATCTTGGACCATGCAATGCGGGCATGCAAACAGCTTCCTCTTAAGTGTCTATGGAATTTGGTTGTTTAGTCGTCCACCTTGCAACCAAACCTGCATGGACTCTCTACGCGCTAGCTTCGGCCGGCAAATCTTGCACACCTCTCAAGGCTTACTTTGCTTCCTCACTGCGCTGTTTCAGAGAGGTGAATCGCAACACCAACGCCAAACCAAAACAAACAACCTCCCAACCCCCAATCTCCCAAACCCCAACCCCCGCAACCCCCCGCCCAGTTTTTTTGGAGCCAACCTCCGGTCTCCAAAACGACCTCGCGCCTTTCTGCACCCTGAGCTCAAACATCTCCCGCGAGGTGAAGCCAGTGGTTGTCACCTTGAAATGAGTCGAGGGCTCGAAGCTGGAATTCCCTCTCGCCTCAAAAAAAGGAACTTTATGGAGGCGTATTCCCCAAACACACATACCACTGTTGGTGGTCCAAAAACGGGGGAAATTGATGCGAACCCAAGGGGTCCCAAAGGCAGAGGCGCCGGGTTTCATTTGCATGGAGAACATTGAGTGACCCCTGTTGTTCGCCAGGTCAAAGCTATCATAGGTCATGGCTTTGAAGGGAAATCATGGCCAAACTAATACGGCACAAAGGCTAGTCCTGATATGCGCCATGGTCAAAACAACCATGGACATGGTTCCCTCATTAGGAACCCTTACTATGGTTGTCTAAATCTGGACAAAGGGGGTCCATGACAATCCTTACCAACCCCAGGCAAAGGTCTTTTTCGACCATGGCACAAGAACCCAAAGGGCGGAAATATGAACCTATCGTTGGCTAGGATTGTCGTCACCAACCGACGCGAGCCCTGGACAAAATAAGTTGTTGCATTGTTTCCCCAAGCGGACATGAGAAAAGTGGATGGTCTTTGCCGCTTGCATTTGTAGCTGGTTGGCCCCCTTCTCATTGTCCCTGAACTATAGACAACCAGCAATTGTGTCTGCGTAAATGACCAATCAAAGGGCCCGTTCAAAGCGCCCCTGGATGCTTTCTGAGCCGGGAATCAAACCGGTCCCAACCCCAGTTCAACAGACAGGACCGTCTGCATCAAAGCCTGTTGCAGGCCTCAAACCTCCATGAACAAACCACGACAGGAAGTCGGTGCGACTAAGCTGTCGGCCAAAGGAGACGATGGGAAACACTCGATGAGCTCTTCCAAGATCTCCTTGCCAATTCAATCAGTCAACCAGGTGTGTCGCTGTGGCTACTCTTTTGGAGGCTTGCTTCCATGAACGCAAAAGGAAATCCGCCATGATCGAAATCCCTGATTCAAAACAAACCCAAACCACTCCCCACAACCAAAACATTGGTGGATGACCTTTGATATGATGGCAACATTGTCGTTAGACAAGCGGTTTGGGCAGAATACGGTGGAAGCTGATCTCCACCACGAAGTCCTTGCAGCCATGAGACGACGCACCAAATCCTCGAGTAAAAACAACTGCGATTCCCGGACGCCTCTCTGTGCAGCATGTCTTCGCCACTGAAGACTTCGGCTTGCATCGCCAGCCTCGCAAGGGGCACTTCATGTCTTCGGTTGCCTCGAAAGCCTTCATCCTCTGAAAGTGTCCACCTATGGAAAGTCGGGTGTACAATCATGTAGACCAGAAGTGATCCGTTGCTTTCTTTTTGGGAGTAGTGGAGACTCTCTTACCTTAGGGGAACCCTCAACCCCTCATGTAGCAGGCTACACGTGTCAAGCACCTGAAAATGCAGGCGTTCAGCCCTGAAAAACATTGGGCTTTCCCGAGCTGACACGAACGAGAATGACTTCCTCGTTCCCCAAACCGCTCCCTGGGCAACAAAAAATCCAGCTCCCCAGGATGGTTTCGAGTGGAACGCCTCTTAGATGCAAGCTACCAAGGACGCCTATCCCTCAGCCCAGCTTACATTGCCCCAGAAGAAGCCACAGGCCCAGGCTGCCAAGACGATGTTGAAACAGTAGACACCACCCCTAGACGCAAGAAAAAAAACAAACAACTTTCGGGTGCTCATCGCGCCTGTAGGTCTCGAAAGTCTCCTTCTTGACCAGGAGGGCAAACGGCTCCTTCCTAAGCTCGAGCTGGGGTTGCAGCCCCGTGTTTTTTGCTTTTCTTTCTTTTTGTTTCGCAACCCGCTGAGTGGCCAGAAAATAAGTGCCTGAACTTATTGGGCCTCAAAAATGAGGAAAACATCATCCACAAAACAGGTGTGAGTCTCAACATGACAGCTGACAGGCGGCCTCTTCAAAGTGAGTTTGATCTTCCAAGTACCCTCCCACAGGTGCTGCGTTGCTTTGGGAGCAAGGGCAAACATCTCCGTTTTCTGCATTTCGACTGGATTGTGTTTCCTGGAAAGGTCCCTTTCTGTGATGCCGCTGAGTATTGGGTTCCCATCCCTGTGACTACCTCATGTTGCTTTTCAGGGATTGCCCAACCGTATCACAGAAGGTGGCACTCTACAGCAAGTTTTCCACAACCATGGGGTTGGGTGATTCCTGTTTTCAACAGTCTGACAACGCTTATCAGCACTGGGCGTTTGAATTGGTACACCAACAAACCACATGTCAGGTTTCTGCTTCATGCAAGCCTCAAAATAGTTTTGGAGACCTTCTAACCCTTGTCCAAGACATTCTCAGCGCCCAACTCCTTTTCCATGTGCGCCTTGGCTTCCCCTCTCAAAATTGTGCGGCTCCAGCTCGGGTTGCAGGGGCGGGGTTTTAGGGGTTCTCCGCGGGTTAGACGCAAGTGCTCGAAGACAGAAATAGCCGCTCAAAACACGAAAACACGAAACGCCGGACAAAAAACCCGGAGACCGTTCCTTGTTCCTTGCGCAGATTTTTCGCCCGAGGCTTGAGCTTTTGAGGACCCACCCCATACGGCTTGAGCTGAGCTCCCCGCGTAGGCTTTCGTGATCACCTCGAAAGCGCCTGTCGCACATGCGATGGAGTTGCGCCGGCAAGTAAACAAACGCCCCTGGCCCCTGGGTCTCATATCAACTGTAATACCTGAGCTTCGCTTTTAACCAAAAGCAATGTGTTTGATTCTGGGTCGTATTCAGTGAACATAAAGGGCAAGATCATTGAAAAGGATGGCAGCTGTGGAAAGGGAGCTGTAGGATAGCACTTCTGGAGCCGCCCCAATTAAAACCTTGCACTTTCCCGTCAAGATTCGGGATATTCGCGATTTCCGGGCAAAGCGTTGTACAAAATGGTTGCGGAACTAATATGTGTGTTGGGGTACTTTCCGTGATACCATAAATTTCCATTTGAAAGCGATTCCGTTGTCATGGGGATTGCACGTCATTTGGCCGCATGAGCTTCAAGAAGGAACACCCTCCAAAGTGGTTGGTGGACACAAATCCCCACCTAAATAATATGTTTTTGAGGATCCCCAACTAAATTCACGTAGCCATGTCATGCTCCGTAGCAATCGGTCAAGTCCCGCCTTCAGCGTAGTCTGGAAGAATCTCGTAGGGCACGCCCATATGCTGCAGCATCGTTGGAGTCAACGCCTCGCAAACCCGGGCCTGCCTCCTGTGGATCTACTAAATGGGCATTTAAGAATAGGGAACCCTCAAAATGCTGGCTTGCTTTTTGGTTGGAAAAAGAGTACCCTCAAATTTACAATAAACACAAACGCACACGCACATAGCTGCAGATTGTTGAAAAAGCGCACAAGCTGGAGGGTGCTGGTGTGTAACCACAGTTTATCTTTTCTGAACCCATTCCGACGCATCGCATGGTGTCTTCCGGCTCAGCTTCGAACTCCTTGTAGCAAATGCTGCGGCTCGTCCTTCTTGCCTGGCAGCAGCTCCGTCAGAGAAACCGGTTTCGCCGGCGAAACCCGAGAGGAAATGAAGTCTCCTGCCTGGCTCCCCGCGCCAGCCAATCAAGAGCAGAGCCGGAATGGCGTACACCTGGCTTCGCTTCTCACCCGGCAAAAGGCGACCCCCAAAGCTCCTGATTAACTTGGAGACCAAAGCTCAACTTGAAACACGCCAATGAACGCCCAAAAAGTCTGATCTCGTCCATTCACCACGGCTGCGTCGGATTCGCCGCTGGACAGGTCGTGCGGCTTGGCCGGGCAAAATCTGCCCCGCCTTCTGGCTACAGAGCGAGAGCAAGGGATTGATGGTATTGCCAAGGCCCGAGTTCTGCAAGTAGACACATGCCTCGGATCTCCATGTGGCTTGGCAACCCCAAGCCCTGGAAAAGCCCTGGCTACGAAAAAACGCGGTGCCAAAATCTGGTCTTTTAGCTTTTGTCCCATGGCACCCTGACACGCGAAAACTCCATGTCCCACAAGTTGCCCAAGGGTCATCCAATATGGCACCCACCCATTGGTATAGGAATCTCTCGTTTGCAGTTCACACACCAAATGGCTAAGAGACCCGTATCCAGCTAGCATTGACTTTGGAAGGGGGACATTGACTTGAACTGGGGACACCCCCATTTTTCCGAGGTTCATCCATCCAATCACACCAAGTACCAAAACGTCGCCTTCAAGGGCTCCTTCGCCTGGATCAGAAAGGGCTGCCCGAGGGCATCCAATTCAAAGCCCCAGTGACAACCAAACCCCCCCAAAAAAAAACCTGAAACCAAACACCAAAGCCCCACACCCAAACTCAAAGCCTCAAAGCAACCCCTATATAAAAAAAAACTCCGAACCCACCGAAAACCCTAAAAACTCCTAAAACTCCGATCCCCACACCCAGCGAAAACCGCTGGAAACCTAAAAACCGTAACCCACCCCACCCCAACCAACCAACCGCCGAGCCGCGATCTTCCCAGTGGCCAGGTGGTGGCCTGCGGCCATCGCCAAGGCGGTGCCTTCGTTGGCGGCGATGACCTCGGCGCTCGAGTCGCTCGAGTCGCGCGCGGGGCCCCGTCCAACGGGTCTCTGGGTCTTGTTGAGAAACAGAGTGCTCATCTTTGGGGTTTCGGGGGAGCTCGGTTTGCTTATAAGCTCGGGTTTCTTTGTAATTTGAGATATGGTTCATCTTTGCAGGGTAGTTCAGCCTAAGGGTGGAACCCCGTTCTGATCAAAGGGTTCTGAATGTCTCCAGGCGAAATGTCAACAGAAATACGGCCTGACATGTTGTGGCGTCACAACGCCAGGGAGTAAGCAGAAATGGCCGCCATGTTTCCACAATGAACTCCTCCAGCTGTTAACAGTCTTGGTTTTTCGGGGTTCAAGGTGATATGGCTGTGGGTCAAAAATAGGGGCCCAAAATGGAACCTTGGTAAGTGGAACCAAGGACTAAAACCTGCGGTCCCCTGGTGGTTTAATTTTGACCCAGACCCATATGGTAAGAAGCCTTTCTGTTTCTGAGTGTCAGCACCACATGAACAGCTGTGAACTGAAGCGACGCCGGTCTTAGGCAACAAGGATGAACTAAATGGTGTCTCAAAACCAGCTAGAACTCCCAATTGCTGGTACCAATTGATTCTTGTACCTCGAGCTTCTATCGGTGTGACCCAGCTTTTTCGCTTTTTTTTTCAAGCCGATCGGAGCATAAGAGTCCCTCACCCGAGAGCCTCGCATGTTGCTTGGCCGGCACGTTGTCCGTGATGAAGGCACAAATGTCCTGGCGGAACAGCACACATCTGTCCAAAAACGGCGCCTCTTCCATGAACCTGGATGGAGGGGAACCCGAACAGACAACTCCTTTTGCAGGTGCCATGTGAATGAAGCTTCTCTCGGGGAAAAAAAAAACAAGATCAAGAAGAACACTGCAAGGGCTGTGGTAAAACCCCGCGGAAAAAAAGAGAAAAGAAACAAGAAGCAACCCGCCGCGGGCGCCTTGAGCAGGGAGTCGGGGACGCCGGCAAAGAAGGAAGTGCCGTGGGCACGGAGCAGCATGAAGAAGTGCGCGGGGTTCAAGTAGGTTCGTTCCTGAGGAACGAGACCCATAGAGCAGAGAAACAGAGATGACTTCCGATTCCGTGTCTTTGTTCTTCATTTGTCCCAAACAGCTGAAAGCTTTGGGGTCTCAGCCCAGATAGGCTCCGGGGTGGTCTGGGGCAGCCCTGAGGTAAGGTTCCACGAGGGTTCCACCCGGGTTCCACGAGGGGTTCCACGAGGTTCTGCGAGGGCTGCGGGGTGGTGCGAGCACTAAAAAGAGCACCGCATGCTGTTGGGGGTATCACCTGAGCTTATATTTTTGAAAAAAAAAGGCTTGGGACCCGGCTTGGGCTGATTTAGACGGAAACTCAAAGGAGAACAAGCTCCATTTCTTTCTATATTTGTTTTTGGGAAGCCCCTACTTTAAGACACACCCGTATCCAGCAAAGAAATCGTGCACTTTCGATTTGCCATAATGGCCCAAACCAACAAGAGCATCCCGCAGGGAAGTTATTCTGTTGCCCCATAAGTGGACGCTGGGTCCCCGAAAAGGAAGATAGTCTTCCACAAACCTGTCACCTTCCATGATTGGAGGACAAACATGGGCCGTGTCCGAGTCTTGGCTGGGAACCTCTGGTATCAAAAGATGCTACCTCGCCATTTGGGAGCAGGGGAGCGGGCAGATTCCTTCCTGCATGAATCATGCATCCGAAACCCCATTGGACGAATCCCGAAGAGGGTCCTGAACATGTCCTACCACGCGCTACTAGCCCTTTCGGGATTGGGGACGACGTTTTGAACACCCTTTGGATCACATGCATAGTTGGTTGGTGCTTGAAAACTTCCGAGTTGGCTCCATGTTGTGGTCAAAAAACAACTGGCGGAATGTTGGCCGCAACACAAGGCCTTGCATGGATCCACCAAGCTCAGAACTATCCGTTTTGTGCTCGGAATGCTTTAATCTACACAAATGGGCAGAGTTCCTTGTTTGGTTTGCGTCAACGGGCAATGAAAGAGAATCCAACCACGTTTAGGGCTCCCCATGTTGAGACAAAACCATCCACTCTCTTTGGTTTGCGGAACATGGCCATCCATGTCCTGGACATTTCCCTCAAAAGCAGCCAGAGATCGACACTCGTTTCTTGGACTCTGGGCTTCGAGCAGTCTCGGTCATGGGCCGATAGATTCGAGTGTCTGCCTGCAATGCAAAGTCGGGTGTCTCTCCCTCTCTCTCTCTTATTTTTTATTATTTATTTTTTTTTTAAACAAAAAAAACATGCTATGGGAACTCAAACCAAACACACTTTAAGCGCTGCTTCCAGCTCCAACTAGAGTAGGTAACCAAGAAAAATCATCATATGAAACCAAGAGGTAAAAAAAACCCAGGTTACTGCTCATATCCTGGATATGACACCAATACGCACAAAAACCGCTGGTGTTTCAATGAACAATAATTGCAGGAAAAAACATGCTATTGTTCCATGATGTTTGAGTTGAGTTCCATGACTTGTTTTGCGACGCGAAGGCCCATTTGCGGAGCCTTATTCACTGGGCCAACACATCAGTGGGAGCTTTGTCCTGCATTGTACCTCGAACGGTGCCAGTTTGAGATCGCTTTGAACTACGACTATGTTTTGGTAGCTGGAAGCACTGGGTTAGACACAAGCTGGGCAAAGAGAAGAGGCAGAAAATGTCTCGGCACCTGCTTTCTGCCCTCGGGCATTGCAATCTCTGCATCGGAAAAGAAGCGGACCTCAGATCGTGCTTCGCTCCGTCAGACAAGGTGAGTGAGTCAAAACTTGTTGCTTGTTGTTACCCTGCAAAGTAATCGTCAAAAACTGTTGGTTGTCATATTTCCAGGATCTGTGGGGAGCACTCTGGTGGGCATGGACAAAATTCGCGTGGCTTAGGTTTGCGATTTTTGTTCTGAGTCGGCAACGTCCGAACCTCAAAACACCTTGACTCGTTTCCTGGGAAGCCTGCCCCCCAGAACACACAGCGCTGGGGTCCAACAGTGACAATGCCTCCAACCACCACTTGGTTGGGAACCATCACTTTAATTGTTTTGACCAGAGTTGCATCATGTAAATGCCCCTCCTCCCCCGCGGGCCATTGCATGGGGGGCCTAACCCCCCAAAGCTGGGCTGATGGCACAAGGAGCACGGCGCTTCGGGAGACTCCTGGGAGCCGTCGCAAAAAATCGTATCGCATTTCGAGTCTCCGGCAGATGCGCTTTGCCAGGAACTCCAAACCATCCGTTGAGGAGCCGCCCAAAGGGTTGCTGTGCAGGAAGGAAACTCGAAAACCGGAAAGGGAACCATCACGATCACGATTTTGGGATGGGTCCAATGAGGAAGGAAACCGAAAGAAACCCATGCGCCGGTGCTTGGGCATCCACAACTCACCTGATCAGTTGAGAAACACCTGGGGGTTGCCCCCCAAAAAGGCGGGGTTCCATTCTGGCTGGGGTTCCGCTCTGCTTTTGTCCCTTTGCGACCGCCAAGAAAGCTCCGATCAATTGAAGTGAGCTCTTTGAGGCAAGGCATCGGTCAAGAAAAGAAAGCTGTAGCGCTGCTTAATGACTGGCTAGACGAGGTCTAACTGAAGGCAGCCGACTCAACTACACGCCGTGCTTGTAGGGACTCGGAGGTCTACTGCCGGTTGTTGGCCCTGTAGGTTTCCTGTTTGCAGGAAACACACGACCCAGAATCTGAGGGAAGTACCCCCGGCTGGAATTTTGCCCGAGAAGTTCACCGAGAAGTTGGCCCGTTTGGGGAAACTTCCAGATACGAACTCGTCACTTCGGTCAATGCATTTCCCACCCGGCTTGCGATACAAGACCTTCACAACGTCATGAGAAGAATCCCCAAGGAGGCAACCTGGGACATGTGCCGCCCGGGTCCTCAGTGCTGTCGTCAAAGCCTGGGTCCCAGGATCAAGGAAGGCCAATCATTGGCAATGGGAAGCCACACCCAGCCTACAAAACCAGGCAAATGGAATCACGACTCGAAAAACACAAAGCTTGGGGTTCCCTCAGACAAAGCCTGGAGATGGCTTTTGTCTCTTTGGATGGCTGACAGTCTATCAATACAACATGTTGCTTTATCATCCACTTTAAAGTTCATGTTTACTTGTGATTCGGGCACGAGCCTGTGCCCAGGCAATGGGTAAGTTGGGGTAAACAAGCCACAAAAGAAAGGTTCCCCAAAAGCAAACCAATCCCCGGTCCCAAAGATCAGGGTTTCCCACACACCAGAGAACAACAACCAAAGGAAAACAAACCAAACAAGAAAAGGGTTAACCCGCAACCTTGGTCGACAACAGGCCGCACGACTGGTCCCTACCAACCTGGCGGCGGCCCGAGGTCTCTTTCTCCCCCGAGATGCCGTCGGTCGACGCAGGGGTTCGGCGACGCCCATTCGAGGCGCGACGGAACCCAGAACTTGAGCCAAAGTGGCACCGGATAGTTGCTATCGCAACATGCCGGTAGTCACCTGAAATGCATGGCTAATCACACCCCCCTCACGAGGAGTCCGTCATATGACGGGCGGAGCGTGCCATTTACTGATAGGATTTAACCGCTCGCATGTATCCGCAAACAGCTGGACACTACCGCCGTCAGCGGTGGAGCAAACCCACAAAGGCAGTTGCGCGACATCCCGGGCATTAAATTCCCGCCACCACCCTGAATTAATCGGGGTAACGCTGTCCAACACACCTCGTGAAAGAGTCCACATGACGGCACCAGGCCACAACTGTTTGCATCAACAATGCAAGAAGTTTAAATCTTATCAGAAGCCATGAAAAAGAAGATAACGTATGTCCATTTAGCACCCTCGCCTAACGGCAAGAGGTGCTCCTGACCATGCGTACCTGAAAAATGCTTGAATTCCGCAAAGCCGGGAGTAACCCCCCATCAGTTTGCTTTCCCTCTCACTCACACTGCTTCCTGATGAACACGTCCAGCAGCCCAGCAGCGGTACGGGAGTGACATGACCTCCGCGCCTCAGCGGTCCGGGAGGAACAACACCACCTCCGCACCGCGCCGACCATTGGAGAATGGACGCAAGCCTACCGGCCGCAATCCTCGTGACTCAGCCTACCGGCTATCGTCACGTCTCCTCCGGTCACGTCCGCCCCGCGCACGGTCCCTGTCACGATCCCTTTCGGACCTCCTGCGATCATCTCGCCTTCGATCTCGCTCCCGATCGAGTGATTCATCATCTCGACGATCACGAGCATCGTCCCTCCTCCGGTCACGATCATCCTCGCGCCGTGGACGGTATCTGCGCCTTCTCGACTCTCTGGAATCCCTGGTGTCCACGGTCCTAACGGACCTCCGAGAGGGAGTACGGGAAACATCCGATTCCCTGCGCCTCCTCCCAGAACGAGAGTTCGTCACGATCTGGTTGAGGGCCTCTAGCGCTAACGCGTCCTCACCATTTCTGATGAAATCCCTGACTTGCTTGTTCAGCACTCTGTTGGTGGAGATCGACAAGAAAGCGTCCACCACCGAACCCTCAGGCAGCACAAGGAAGTGACCCTCCACCGGGCTCGCCGCAGTTCGCTCAGCAGATTGCAACCGGATCTCCCCGCCTTCAGGCTTCTTTGCCATCGCCTTGGAGGCCGTCAAAGGTGCTACTGCATCCTTTGCCGAAGATCTACCAAGCGCGGAGTGAAGATCATCCCCACTAGCCTCTCTCGCCGCCGCACCTGGTCTGCTGTCGACGTCATCAGGCCTTGTTGATGCCTCCCGCTTCGTTGACTCCTTCACAGTCTCGTCGGGATCCCAACGGGACCTCCTTTCTCTCTTCTGCCCTTCAGCCGACCCCCGGCTACCGCCGGAAGCGTCTACTCCGCTCATCTTCTCCTTCTTGACCTCAACCTTCGGTTCGGCCTGCTTCGTCTCCGCAGCCTTAGCCTTCGGAGCCGGAGCATCCTTCGCCTCAGCTACTGAAGCGGCCTTCCCTTTTGTCTCGGTCTTCGGAACCGGGGTCATTTTAGCCTTCGCGCTCGGCCGGGCTCCCTGAACCGCCATTTCGACCCAGGTCTTCTTCGGTTGAGGTGCAGTTGCATCAACCTCCATCGGAGCTGGTCCAGCCGTCCTTTGCTTTTGCCTTCGGGACAGATGGGCTACCGCCCTTGCCAGCTCCTGTACTTGTCACTTCACCTGACTTCGGTGGTGGGCCGGAAGGACTACCGCCCTTACCGCCCTTCTCCCCTTTCTTCCCTTTTCCGCCCTTGATGACCGGCTCCTGCTTGGGACCAGGACCTGGTGCAGCATGATGCACCGTTTGAAGTCCCTCGATGTCCACGTTTAGCGGTTCAGGTTGACGACCATCAAGAACCGTCCTCACCCTCTCGTCACTAACGTAGACGAACGGGTCACGGAATGGTGCGGGAGGCTCCGACTGGCCGGCATTGATCGCCTTTTGCACCTTGGCTACCGCCTCCTTCAACCTCTTCTTCTCATCGTACCCCGTCTCCGACACCATGTGCTGCCTGAGCTTCGAAATCAATGCATGGCTCTCCAGGATGTCCACATCCTTCCGATGGGTCGGATACAATGGGGTCAGATGACCAGCCGCAGAGCCAATCACGTATGCCATCGGGATATAGAAGGACAAGTACGTGTCATGGCGAGCGAACTTCCTAACGGAAGTCGTCATACGCCTACCCCATTGAGCAGCATGTCTTGGGTTGGCCCGGAAGTACTCCGTGACCGACTCAAATCTATCGACTTGATTGGTCTTAATCAGGTGCTTCGCCACCCACTTCTCCACAAACGCATCCGAGGCCGATATCCCCAACACATAGGAAAATTGGAAGAGCACCTTCGCCAGCTCATCCCACGCCGCATCGACACCTCCCTTGTCTTCACCAAGATAAGGGGGAAGTCTGATGCCGCTCTGCACCGTCATCCTCAGATCGGATGCCATCGAATAGGAAATCAAATTCCTCTTGATGACTCCTACCACATCGGAGGGAATCCTCCTGGGCTTGAACTGCCCCATGGTCCTCACCCACTCCGACACGATGCGACACCTTTCAAAGTCCTTTTCCTCCGCGTTGGGGATAAAGTTCGGGTAAAAGACCGGGAGCGCACACCCGGGACACAAGTGCATCCCATTCGGCATCAACTCTGCGCACCTCAGGCAGAACGTGGCAGTCACATCCAGCCTGATCTCTTCCCGCGATCGCCTGTCCTCTCCCCTAACGGGGGTGAAGTCGCCATAGTCCCATGTCCGATGGTACACTATCGTGTAATCATCGTACATGTATGCCGCCTTCCAAGCTCCCATGTGAATCTCGTTCCTAACAGCAAGAGTCTTCCTCCTTGTCCTTGTCAGATACACGGGTCCAACCAAAGACCAGTGCACCCGAAGATCCACCATTACCACCACGTGCCTACCGGAGTAGTTCCGCAGCCTGTCTCTGACATACCACGAAGGCGATACCTCGGCATCCGGCGCCATTGCTCCCACAAGTGGGATCAGGCCCTCATCTTGTCTTCCATCACCAATGGTTTCGTACACATCGGGCCTTGTGATCAATACCTCGATCATGGCCTTTCCGTTTCGCCTCACCCTTTGGAGCTGAACAGCCTTCCGGAAGTCCGAGAACTTCATGATGACGTACCCCACCATGGGGAGTTCATTCCAATGCATCTCGTACATCAGAGATCCGCCAGGGGCATCTTCCTGAGTGTACCTATGCCTAACGGCACTGTAACTCAAGTCCCGCCCGATCCGCGTGTGCCTAACGGCAATCAATCTGGTGCTCTCTTTGAGAAGAATGCCATTCCCGTCGTACATGACCATGAGCATCGCTTCAACTTGCCCCATTGGGAAAGCTTTGAGCGTCGGAATGAAGAACCTCCAGGACATCTCAGCGTTCTCCATGCCCGAGATCTCCCTCAGGAACCAGATGGCCTGGTCACTCTTCACCCAGTTTCCAGCCTCACGTCCGATCTCCTTCAGCACACGTTCCTCGAATAACTCCGAGACTCTTTTTGAATTGATGACCAAACCGTCAAAATCGCACGAGAGCAGTTTCATCAACTCCTTCGCCGCCTCCCGTCCTGCAACGGTGCCCACGGTCTCTTCGAAGTTCGGGAGGTATTCGCCTAACCTCGTCTTCGAGGGGACCACAATCTGACATGTGACAGCCTCATCGGGGATAACTCCCGTTTCCCTTAGCTCGGGATTGATCTCTCGCCTATCGGCAAGATAATCCTCCTTCCCATCCAGGATCACAAGATTGTAGGTCATCTTGCTCGCCGCCGCACTAGGCCTGAACTTCCTGCTATCATCCAGCTGGTCAGGAGCAAGGGGGCCACTAGGGGCAGCTGCACTCACCATAGGCGCCCCTCGCCCAGAGCAAAGGTGCTTCTTGTGGAAGTTCACCATCTGATTCAGCTGTGACAGGGCGTAGGCGCGATCCTCCAAGGACGCACTCTTCATCCCAGCCTCAGTCAGGGGAGCCTCAGGCTTGTCATAACTCGCCTTACCGCCCCATCTCGCCGCGACTAGCTCAGCAGACTTCACAGGGTCGATCAGATTGCTCAGGCATGTTGCTCAACCTCCTAGTCAACGCGTCTATCGACGCAGCCAAGTCTTCATCCGTCACTGTGTGAGGGTCAACATTCTCCCTGTCTTCTTGGCCAACGTCCGGAAGCCTATAGTCTCCACGGACGGCCTCCATCGCGGCCCTCTCGGCTTCCTCAGCCTCCTTCTGCGTAGCCACTGCTCTCGGAATCAAGAGCGCTACCTCGGCCGGCAGCGACTTCTCCATGTCTATCGGAGTGTTCGTGGGAAGGATCCTTCGATCATCTCCCTCCCCGCTGTACACGTATTCCTGAGCAGCCTTTCGGTACTCCTCAACGGTAGCCCCTCTGTAGTTGGAGACCTTACTCGGATCCG